ATTAATAATAAAAAGTAAAAAGCAAGTCCCCAAAATATTACTCTAAATAGTCACTTGAATTTAATCCTCCCAGCAAACAGGAATTGTCTATTGCTGTGTTTACGGTTGCTTAGGGAAATGATAAAATCCAGGCATGCACCGAGCTCAGCTAGGGAGGGAGTGATGAGGGCACAGGGGCATCTGAGCCTGTCACTTGCCAACAGAGGAATGCACCCTGCTCCTGGCACTTCCCCTGCACCCTGATCTAGTAATTTTTAGGCGTTAGCCAGGGAAGGCAGCCCCCAATTCCAAAATAGTCCAAATGTGTTGACTCATGTCTTCCCATGCCTGCTAAGGCCAGCTTTTCCCTTTTCCACCACCTGGAGGCAGGGGAAGCACACAGAAAAGCGAGAACAAGTGGCTCACTCTGCCTTTTCTCTCTGGGGCAAGAGCTTTGAGACAGAATGTGTGAGAACCCGAGGTTCCTCCTTAGCTAAGGTCAGGGAAGGGCAGTCAGTTATAACGAATAAAGCTAACTGAATGTCTTTATGCTGCCTGATGCATTTTTAAAATGACTTGTTTGGTTTGGGTTTTGTTTGTTTGTTGTTTTTTGTTTTGTTTTGGGTTGATTTGGTTTTCAGTTTCTCTGTTGAGCCCTGACTGTCCTGGAACTCTGCTCTGTAGAACAGGCTGGCCTCGTAGAGATCTGCCTGCCCCTGCCTTCCTAATGCTAGGATTAAAGGTGTAGGCCACCACACCACCACCTATGGACTCTCTGTTTTTAAGGCTTTATTTTTAGTTATTTTAATTACATGTTTGTTATGTGTGTCTGCTTGGGGGGATGGGCATGTGGGTGCGGTGCCCATGGAGGCCAGAGAAGAAAGGCGGTGGATCCTCTGGAGCTGGGGTTATAGGCAATTGTGAGCCACCTGATGTGAGTGCTAGGAGCTGAACTCAGGTCCTCTAGAAGAAGAGTACCTCCTGGGTGCCTGAAACTTCTTAGAGCTAGAGAGAGATGGAACACAACCTTGGCTTCAGGGATAGATCAACTCAGAGCAGTGGTTCTCAATCTCTGGGTCGTGACCCCCTTGGGAGGTCAAATGACCGTTTCAAAGGGGTCTCCTAAGACCATCAGAAAAATCAGACTTTATATTACAATTCATAACAGTAGCAAAATTACAGCTATGAAGTTGCAACAAAAATAATTTCATGGCTAGAGGTCACCACTACATGAGGAACTATATTAAGGGGTCGCAGCATTTAGGAAGGCTGAGAACCACAGGCTTAGAGGCTGAGGGGACCCGGACAAGTCCAAGCTCACTTCGTACCTTTTCCAGACGTTGGACAAGGCCACCGGACAGTGCATGCTCAGGAAATGTTTGTAAGTGAACAGACCACACAGTATCCTAACGGTATACGTGAATGAGTGCTGACAGTGTCAGAATATGACTTGGCATCATCTCTTCTTGTATGAGACCAGAGACATTTTGTGATTGAATTCTGCGATTTAGTTTTTAAATACTGACATCATTTATGTGTGTGCGGCTGTGGGTGCGCACACATGCCACGCACGGCACAGGACAGCTTGCGAAAGTCGGTGCTCTGTTCCCACCGCGCGGAATCCACCTCAGGTCCTCAGCTTAGCAGCAAGCACCTTTACCCACTGAGCCGTCTCGTCAGCCTGGCTCCAGCTATTAAATACACAGTTACCAACACAGAGAGAAACCCACGCTTGGCGACCTTCCGAGTTTCTCGGATCCCCAGTGATACAGAACAGGAAAGGAAATGCTTCCCCTGAACAGACATGGAATGAGGGGTCAGGGGAACCCCCCCAGATACGGTCTGACTCCCCACCTCTTTCAAGGAGCCTCCTTCACTTCTGGGGGAAGCTCCTGAAGGCTTCTGCTTGTTTTTGATGACCTACGCCATTAATAACTCCCTCACTGAAGCAGTTCTCCGAAGCAGAGCGGCTCCTGCAGGCTGAAATGGGTAACAGCCGCTGGCAGGGCCGGAGAGTAAGGAAATACAACCCAGCACGAGGCTATCTGGAGTTGCTTTGGGGAGTCATAGTTTCTGTTTCTCGGCTTTTTGACATTAAAAACAAAAAGGACAAAGGTGCTTGGCTCTCACATCGCTCTCGAGAAGCTGCTTATTGTGTGCTGTGAGGGATGCTCTCCTCAGCTACGCGTAAATGTCAGATGCAGGGGGAAGGTCTCTGTCACAGCCTCTCAGGGCATTTCTCAGAGCAAGCCGAACACACCCCATCAAAGAGCAAGCTCTGGAAGAAAAGTGGCTTGTGGTTCTGAAGCCGCCCGCCTTGCCGCCGGAGTGTAGCCTCCGCAGTGAGTGACTTCAGCCACTTTCTCACAGCCACGTGCTGACAGAATATGAGGTTGTATTCCCGGTTGAGGGTTAATGGCAAGACACCCTCCTGACTCAGCAGCAGGACCAAAGGAGAGGTTCTCTTCTTAGCAGGAAACTTTACAAACCGGACCCATTTCAAGACGGAGTGAGCTGGACGCCACAAAGATAGAGACTCGGTGGTGTCTGGAAAGGCCCCTCTCACCATTTGGCTCTAACAGTCACTCTTGGGTAGGAGTGCAGCTCAGGACAAGCGTTTGCCCAGCATGTGGAGCGTGGCTTTGTTCCCCTGGCACCACACATACACATATACAAATTGACATTTCTACCGGCTAAAATGACATTTGGATCATTTATTTTTTCTTTTCTTATTTATTTTAAGACAGGATCTCACTAAGCTACTCAAAATGTCCTCAAAATCACAAAAGCCTCCTGCTTCTACCCCTGAGTGTTTCCGTTATGGATATGTACCATCATGCCTGACTCCATTCTGTTTTGTGTTTTGTTTTGTTTTTAAAGATCTATTTTTATGTATGAGTACTCTATCTGCATGTACACCTGTATGCCAGAAGAGGGCATCAGATCCCTGAATAGATGGTTGTGAACCACCACGGGGGTCCTGGGAATTGAACTCAGGACCTCAGGAAGATCAGACAGTGCTCTTAACTGCTGAGCCATCTCTCCAGTGCCCCACTCTGTTATCTTTTTTTTTTAATTCTTATTTTATTTTTATAATAATTACAGTTGTTCACTTTGTACCCCAGCTGTAGCCCCTTCCCTCATTCCCTCCCAATCCCACCCTTCCTCCATCATCTCCTCCCATCTCCCTCCCACCATGGGGGAGCAGCCTTACCAGGCTGCAGAGGAAGGCAATGCAGCCAGTCCTGATGAGACCTGATAGGCTAGGGTCAGAGGGAAGGGGAGAAGGACCTCCACTCTGTTATCTTAACTAACATTTTTTGGTAACTACTGAGTTCAAACACTTCTGACTATGGGTCGTTTTTGCTTGGTTACAGTGGGATTAGAAATCACACACTGTTTAGCTTTTACCCATTTATCTATCGGTATTTTTCTTCTTGGATTAGCTGAGCATTCCATATGGTAAGGGATATTACCATGCTGTCATACTTATTAAAATACATGTTCTAATTTGTGGTTTATCATAGTTGGACCTTCTCATCATAGTTGGAGCAGGTCCAAGGCCACCGAATGCTACAGCGCTCAATATAGTCCCTAGTTTGTCGGGTTTACATTTAAGGATTTATTTTATGAAATCCAGTTGCTTTATGAGATTTTTTTTTATCCCAGTAAGAAAATAACTAGATGAGCAAAATTTATTAATAATCCTGGGAAGACGCAGGGCTGACCTTGAAATAGCAAAGTCCACCCACAGTGCCTTGGGACTACTGCAGACTGTTTTCTTAGCAATAAAGAAAGAAAACACTCCATTTCAAAAGTATCACTATCAGAATTTCCAATCATCTGCTCAGCTGAAGGGACGGTATGCTAGGGGTGGGGGAGAGAGGACTGGAAGGCAGGAAGGGAGATAAAGTGAAAATTTCCAAGCCTAAGCAAAGCTTCACTCATTCACTCATTCTTGTTGCGGCTCCCTCTGATTTTTTGTTTTGTTTTTTCAAGACAGGGTTTCTCTATGTAGCCTTAGCTGTCAGGAAGGCAAAGATGGCTTCGAACTCACAGAGCTCCATGTGCCTCCGTGTCCCGAGCGCTATGATTAAAGGCGTGTTCCACCACTGACTGGCTGTTCCCTCTAATTTTTAAAAACAATTTATTTATTTATTTTTTATTACATTGGTGTTTTACCTGCATGTATGTCTGTATGAGGGTGCTAGATCGCCTGAGACAGGAGTTACAGACAGCTGTGAGACGCCATGCAGGTGCTGGGAATCAAACCCCGGTCCTCTGGAAGATCAGACAGTGCTCTTAACCAATAAGCCATCTCTCCAGCTCCATTTCTCTGATTCTTATAGAATGACATAGATGGAACATCCCATCTAGCTCCCAACTCGTTCCATGATCAATTCTCAACATGTGGATAGTGAAGATACTTTGTAGGATAGCATGAATGTCCCTTACGAGGACTAACATGTTCCCCCCCATGCATCCAGGGAACAGGAAGTGGGGAGTGATATTGATGACAAGAGTATAAATAGTTTATATACCTCTCAGAGGCTGCCCTGGGTTTTATGGTCTCAAGGGTGGGTTTGGAAGTCACAGGCTAGCTCAGCCCCATCCTTATCCTGTAACCTCACGGAACCTCTTACCTGTATCTGTGACAGCGGATTGACCACAGCGGCTCATGAGACTGACAAGAAGAGTAAGTGAGACGATGTTTGTGACACACAGAGAGGTTGGTGCTGGGAAGATGGGATCAAGCTAGAGACTTGCCTAGCATGTGTGAGGTCCAAGATCCAACCCCCAGTACTGGAAAAATATATCGGCTCCCATCAAGTTATCAGTGGCCAAGTGTGTCGTGTGTATGGTGAACCTTGCCGTTTATTTCCGGGAGGAATGAAGGACTTTCTCTTTAATCTTAAGTGAGCCACCAGGTGGGAAGATAGAGAAATGGTTTCATGATGGTGTTATGTCCCCGTAAAGGGCTAACTTCGGGCATCCTTCCTTTGGGATATCCTAGCGGAAGGTTATGAAGGCAGAGAGAAATGTGCGACATTCTCCCTAGAGCCCACCACTGCCTTCTCCTCAAAGACTTTCTGCAGCGCTTCTCTTAGGGACTTCCTGCTCTTCTTCCTCCTCAGGCTGCCTACCACAAAGTAGACAATTGGGTTGACGCTGCAGTTAATAATGGACAGCAAGTTCAGGTAGGGAAGGGATTCCCACACAGTGTGGTCACTCGAGTTGGAGTAGTAGCCGATGATAAGCAACACCTTCATGGGCATGGCGAAGACGAGAAACAGGATCACCGTGACCATGATGATCACATAGAGCTTGGCTGGCTGGCGTGGCTTCACATTACAGCAGACTTGGATGAAGAGGACCAAGTTGGAGAAGACCATGAGAGGAACAAAGACCAGGAAAGTCAAGGTACAGGAAAATATGTACACGTATCGGCATTCAGGGAATCGGGGCTTCTCTTTCAGAATGCAGAAGAAGTTTTCCAAACCAGACACCAGAACAGAGAGGGCCCACAGCAGCGCACAGGCCACAGCCGACTGGTGTTTTGGACGTCGGCACTGGTACCAGATTGGGTAAAGCACTGAGAGGCATCGCTCCACACTGATGGCTGTGAGGAGGTGCAGACCCGTGTTGTAGCCGGAGATCATGAAGACAATTGGATAGGCCAGTTGGGGGATGTCCTGGCTGTGGATGATGTTTATCAGTTGGATGATGGATGAACAGAGGAGGACCATGAAGTCAGCAATGGCGAGATGTAGGATGTAGATGGTGAATGGCTTCCTCTTGATACAGAAGATTAGGAACCATATCAAAAGTCCATTCCCAATCAGTCCCAGCAGACAAATGACCAGGCAGATGGACATGTAACTGTAGTCATACTTTGAAGACGAGGTGGTCTCATTTAGGGACTCATTTCTGCTGTATTCTGTGGATTCCAGAGGACAAAAGGTCGTTGCCAATGGCTCCATTCCTGGGAAATTGCTTTCTCTGTGGTCTCCTGTGGTCAGAAATGGAAGACGGTGACAGGTATCATCTGCTCTGCACCTCAAAATGGTTTTGTGTTACTGTGAAGGCTCTCTCCCACAGTGAGGATGAGAGAAGCCAGAGTCCCCAGCTGTGTCTCCTCATCTTCTCCATGCCCTGTTTCATCCTCCTTTCTTCAGTTCTCCACCCAGCAGGTGCCACCGAAATGTTCTCAACATGCCTCTCACTAACCCTCGGACTGACTCCTGACCTCAGCCCCAGCTACTGGCACCGACAACTCTGCTTTGTTCCTGGTTCTGTAGGTAAACCTACTTACTTCTAAGAGTTTTTACCAGAACTAGGTGACAGAATTAAGAACAGGATTTTTTTTTTAAAGATACTTGAAATGCATGGCAAAGCTAATGCATAAAAAAAATAAAAGAGGAGACTGTGGTTGGGGGCATAACTCAGAAAAATATTTGTGTAGCACAAGGACCTAGTTTAGATCCCTGGCCTTCACATAAAGATCTGGGTATGGCGGCATCTATAATCCCAGCACGAGGGAGGGGCAATAGCCTCGATGGCCAGCCAATCTAGCAGGCCCATCAAACTCCAGGCTCACTGAGAAACCCTGTCTTACAAAGCAAGGTGGGAAGTGACTGAGGGAAACATCTAAGGCTGTCCTCTGACACCCACAGGCGCCTGCTTAGGCAAGGACCCCCCCCACACACACACAGAGAGAGAGAGAGAGAGAGAGAGAGAGAGAGAGAGAGAACAAGCGATTACAACGTAGGTAGAGTTTTGTTGATCTTCCTGTCACATATCTTTCTACCTTTTCTCCTGCCCCATGCCCCAGCTTTCAGTTTACAGCAGCTATGCCCATTTACTAACTCACCAGCAAACACAAATAAGGTGCAGTTGCATGTTTCTGTCCTGGACATTAAGGCCTTTCCCTTGGGTTTGGCTGAGGAGACAATCTAGTCATGACTGGGAAAGGCAGGAAAGAAGGCAGGTTGAGAAGTTTCTGTTGAGTTGGGGTTCAAGGAGGAGAAGGCTATTGAGAGTGGAGAGTCAGGCAGGATTGTAATCTTCAGACTCAGGACAGCCTGTGTCCCCAGGGGCTATCAGGTGTGATTGCTTAGTTCCCACATCTTTCTTATTTGGTGTTTCCTGTTGTCCAAAGGATGCCCTCATCACAACCAACTGAATCATGGGAAGGAATCAAGAGCACAGATAGAGCCATGAACATCCGGTTTTGTTTTTTTATAGACTCAACCATACAGGAAAACAGTCTAGAGATGAACACTGTTTTAAAAGATGCTTTCTGTCTACCCTGGAAACTTAGAATTCATATTTCTGGAGATTCAGCAGGATTTACCAGAACAGCCAGATTCTGTTCTTAGATTCTGATTTAACCTGAGTTATAACTGATTATGTTACTGGGTCTTCATTCTTTCCCTGGTGTACAACTCCTTAATGTCTTTGGAATCTCTGCAGTGGTGTGCCTTTTTGAGTATAGTGACTGATGGCTGGCTGCCCACTAGATAGCTTCAGGATAGATCTGGTCACTGGAAGGTCCTGGCAGGACTTGGCAGTTGGGACTTTAGCCCCACTGCTCAATGTGCAGGGACGGGAGAAGGCCTGAATGTTGAGCTGACTAACAGTGGACAACGATCATGACTTTATTAGTCTCCATAGACCCTCCCAGACAGAACAGGGTTTGGAGGCTTCAGGTAGCTGAACTTCCAGCTACAGAACAGGATTTAGAAGGCTTCCAGGAGCTTCTGGAGGTGTTCAGAGAGGGCATGGGAGCTCTGTGTTCCTTCAGCATACCTCACAGTTTATATGTGTTCATCTATACCCATCCTGACAACCTTTGACATTCACTGTTAAGGTTTTCCCCTGAGTTCTGCTATCTGTTTAGGAAAATGAATTTAACCCGAGGAACCCTGATAAATGCTAGTGGGTCAGAAGCACAGGAAAAGCAAACGGGACATGTGGTCAACGTGTGAAATGTGCACAGAGCTGGGGGGTGGGGTAGCAGCCCACCAAGAGTTGCGAACAATCCTCATGGGGCTTTCTCTCCCCCCTCTCCTTTCCCCATGTCGGGCTGGCTCCACTTGAGATCCTGTCTGCACTTGGATCCACGAAGTGGCTCTTGGGCTCTGATCGTCACAGCCACCAGTCACAGTGGGCATTGGGAATGTTGCTCCACCCTACCTTGCAGAGGGATGGCTCTCCGAGGGTCCCTCTTCTTTCGAAAGCAAGCGGAGGACCCCTTCAAGCCTTTCCCGTGATGTGCACCTGGGGTTTAACAGAGCAGAGATAAGCCAGAGAGGCAGTCCCTTCAAGTCCCTGCATCCGGGCAGCCTGTGGTTCGGTCCTGCTCAAGCCCTTCCTGCTCTCCACCCTGGCCACTGATGAACCTCATCTGCATTAGCATGGGAGTGTCTCAACAACTTCAGTGGCTTTGATAAAAATGTGTGACTTTTCTGGATGGGAAGTTAAACCTTGAAGAGTGAAGCCTTTTTCTGTATTGATCATTTTTCTCAAATAAAACAAGCATTGCTAACTTGATGGGGGGAAAAGATGTCTGAAAGTTTTAGTTGGCAGTTTAGCATTAAGCAGACTCGGGGAAGGGGGACAGAAAGATCCCACAGGGTGCCTTTGTCATAGCCCAGGAGCCACCAGGGACGCCACTCGAAACAGTCTGCCTGCAGGTTAAGGGTGGAGCATTGTGATAAACCAGCTTATACCCAAGGCTGTGCCTCCATAGAAGTCTGAACAAATAAGGGAATGTCTGTGTAACGCTGTCCACATGACCCTTTCTGCCTAGATCCAAGTGTACTAGGAAGCAAAAAGGAACTTACTTGAATTGTACATCTTTACGTTCTACGTGTTGGAACAAAGCATAATTTAGGAGAAAAAGTAGACGTGGGTGGTGATGGCCTTTAACCCCAGCATTTGGGAGGCAGAGGCAGGCAGATCTATGTGAGTTCAAGGCCAGCCTGGTCTACAGATCGAGTACCAGGACAGCAAGGACTATGCAGAGAAACCCCAAACCACAGAGGGCGGGGAGAGATGGAGACTTGAGAGCAGAACAAATAAGTGCAGTTATCCTAATATACTAGTCCTTCTGACTGGCTGAGTTCACCCGATTGCTGAGGAACCCAGTGAGGCTGGAGGCCATCCTCAGTGAGTGAGGACCCTGGGCTCGGAGGACCTGCCTCACTTTGCCAACCTGCCACCATACTATTTCCTGTAGGCAGGAGCCCTCCAGCTTTTGTCCTCATGCAAACACCTCAGTCAACACTGTCTGTGACTATGTATGAAGGTTCCCACTGCCCAGAGGGCAGGAAGTACTGGCGGGCGAGGGGGTGGTCTCAAGGGGAACTTAGCTGGTCTTCAACTCCGGGAACAGCCTGCAAAACCTGCGGCCGACAGTGTCCCGTTCTGGTGGCAGCTGGGCAGCCGCGTTTGCAGCCTTCCCCCACCCCACTTCGGATCTGGAACATGTTATTTTTGGTCTTTTCTAATGAGCTCTCTCTCAGCCTGGCTCTCAGAGCCAGTCAATCAACGAGACTCACATCTGTGTGACAGCGTTCCTGCAGAAGTCTACAAAACGGAACAGAGCCACCTTTTATTTCCGGTGCCGCGTCGGTGTTCCAAAGCAGGAGGCACTCAGGGGGTGTGCAGACCCAGCACCTCCCTGCGCACACCCCTGCGAACGTGCCCACACCTCTGTGGGGCACGATTATTAGGCGACCTTTTGATTTTTTTATTTTTATTTTTTTTACAGTGCTCTTAGGAGAGGCTCTGTGGTTGTAGTTAGACCAGAACACACCCGTTTCAGAAGCCCTTGGGATCCTCCTCTCTCAGGGTAGAGTCTCTTTCTACCCAGTCACCGAGAGCTTTCAGCAAGGGGCAAGTAGGAGCACTCACGGTCCGTTGGTGGGGAGCACCGTGGCGATCTCTGCTTCTTCCCTTAGGGCTTGCTATTTCTGCTGGTTCTCATACCCTGCTCAGCAGACAAGAAGGTTCCAGAAGGCTGAAAGAGCCCACACCAGTCTGGCACCGGTCTGTTCTCAGGGTCTTATTTGGGCCTGAGATCTGGCCAGTGAAATTTAGATTCCTGTTGGCAAGCACCCAAGGGCAGAGGGCGGGGCCGGTTTCCCTCCGAGGCCTGTCAATCAAACCAATAATAATCCCTCGACGCTGTTGGTAGTTTGCATCAAGTCCCAGCTAACGGGAAAATATCCTGATCTACCCCAATAGGAGCCTGACCTTCCATCACTTTCAGGTTGTTAGTGAGCTGGACACGTGCATCAGCGTCTAGTTGCAGGTTCCGTCATGTCCCCATCCCTCTCACACCTACCTCCTGCATCGCTGCTTTCCCACACGGCCTCTAAGGTAGTCGTTGGGATCCTCTCAGAGTGGACTGGCTTTCCACCCAGCATAGCCCTCTTTGCAGAGGGCTGGGGAGGCCGTCCTGGGAAGGCCAGCCCCAGGCATCTGCTTTCAGTCCTCCAGCCAGGACCGCCATTGTGGTGTTTCTTGGCCTGTTCCCTCCCACTCAGGTAATTACCCTCCCCGCCTCTCTGCTACAGGTGATGGCCGGAAGACATGATCACCCGACTCCATGTGGGAAGGTGGGCCTTAGACTGGAAAGCGGCGTCCCCACGGGACACCGGGGAGTGGAGGAGGGTGGCCCGATCCCAGCCCACATGTCCTTTCTTGGGGTCGTAGTCTTGTACTGTTTTCACGAGATGCGGAGAAGGAGGACGAAAAGGGGCGTTGAGGAAAGACAGTGCTGTTGCTAGGTACCTCTAGCAGGCCGTGTGAGTGTGTGTCTGCGCTCCCCTCCCCACTTGTCGTGGCGTACAAGCGGAGGACAGAGAGTAACATTCGGGGTTGTTCTTTTCCTCCATATGGGTTCCAGAGATCAAACTCAGGTTGTAAGGCTTGGTGGCACATGCCTTTACTCACTGAGTCATCTTCCCGCCCT